ACACCCAAGCCCTTGGATTTCGCCCAACGTCTGAGACCAGCATCACTTCGGTACTTTCTCCCACATTAAGCAACCCGTTTAAAGTTTGTTTGTTATTAACGCTGCACTTAACAGTGTTACAGCTACATGACGGCAGTCTGTGAATAATCTAATCTGGTCCAGACAATCCAGTGATCAACAGCATGACCATCGATCCAAGCGAACAAAGTGGTTATAATCCAACCCACTCACTCACTCACTCACTCACTCGATCACTCACTCACTCATCAAAATGAAAATTGATCCTAAAGCTTAATAATTTAATCATTTTAGCTGATGCATCCATAACAAAATACGAAAGAATAACAAGTGTTACTATAACTGAACCATTCATCAACCATGTGAGATTTGCCACGAATTAGCGAATGCAGCGCACACGAGAGACAGCCAGCCATGTATAGTGCTGAAGTCTGAAGTGTTGTGGTCTGTCTCGCAGTATAGCCCTTGCTGGACATTGATTATAACAGGTGTACATTCACATCCTGGCGCGGATCGTTATAATGTATTGAATTAGGGTTTGTAATGCCGTACATGTTACGATTACACGCCTGTCTGATGTCAGGCTTTAGATACAGGCAACCAACGAGCGGTGCTGACATTCGACCGTGTGTCTGTTAGCAACCGATCGGTTCCAGCTTTTCAAAAACGTCGTACATTTATTTTCTGAAGCTGAACGTATTAGAAGATTGTGTATTTGTTGTTTATTGTAACTATTCTGTCGTACCTCCTAGACTCTTACATAAACTTACGACAGTCGTGGCGCATCGATAGCTTTGTGAAGCGGGGCCCTGATCTGTCTGAAACTTGTCATGTCTCCAACAGGCTTTCCGTGTTTCTCAATTGATGTGTCTTACACTAGGACATGTCTAATCCGGACTGCTGTCCAAATCTGACTTTGAAAACCTCTATGAAGTTCGGTGAAATCAGGTTCTACTTTACCGAAACCTGCATTATGTGATGTTCGGATTATGTCCAAGTTGATGAAAATTCTGATGATGAGCTTGTGTGTGGTTGTCCTTGATATTGCTCGCCATTCCACCTGAAGAGCTATTCCAAACTGGGCCACTGTTGAGTCTCTGGCGTACAGTCTCTGATCGAGGACAAACCGGACAAGTCCAGTGTCGGTGCCTTCTTGTCGGAGAAAACTATGATGACCGACGCACGGTGTGGTCTGGCATTGTCATTTCGCAGTTCAAACTTTCTGCCGAGAATTTTAGTAAATGGAACAACGAAACGTCTCAAAATCCATCCCCATGGCAGTAACGAAATCACCTCGCCTGTACGACCTGGCACCATGACGTCTTACGTCAAGAACTGTTGCCCTGTCGCCACTACGTCTTCAACAACGTTTTCTGCAATATGTGGATCGGAGTCGAAGCCTTGATTTGTCTTTATACCTGGCGTCACACCCATGTTGTTGTCTAGGCCACTCCAGCCGCCTATAGTTAGCAGGTAGGGTCACACCCATGGTGTTGTCTAGGCCACTCTAGCCGCCTATAGTTAGCAGGTAGGGTCACACCCATGGTGTTGTCTAGGCCACTCCAGCCGCCTATAGTTAGCAGGTAGGGTCACACCCATGGTGTTGTCTAGGCCACTCCAGCCGCCTATAGTTAGCAGGTAGGGTCACACCCATGGTGTTGTCTAGGCCACTCCAGCCGCCTATAGTTAGCAGGTAGGGTCACACCCATGGTATTGTCTAGGCCACTCCAGCCGCCTATAGTTAGCAGGTAGGGTCACACCCATGGTGTTGTCTAGGCCACTCCAGCCGCCTATAGTTAGCAGGTAGGGTCACACCCATGGTGTTGTCTAGGCCACTCCAGCCGCCTATAGTTAGCAGGTAGGGTCACACCCATGGTGTTGTCTAGGCCACTCCAGCCGCCTATAGTTAGCAGGTAGGGTCACACCCATGGTGTTGTCTAGGCCACTCCAGCCGCCTATAGTTAACAGGTAGGGTCACACCCATCCCAAGATACCTTTCAGACAGGCTTCATAGACGTGTTTTTCAAACACATGATGAAATTCTCCTTCCTGTTGTCCTCTGTTGACTGGAGCATATTCGAATCTGTTGCGTGGTGCAATAATGTGTTATAGTGACTAATCCAGGACAGCCATCGTCCAAATATTTAAAAAGTCCAAAACTATGTTGTCAAGACATGTGAGACTTTATTGTAATATATATATGGCGCTAACCTGTATTTTTAATCACTACTGTACATCCTTATCACTACCGCATTGTACATTGACTTGTCAGCCAATTAATTACTGTATATGACATTTATAACCTTTATTGGTCATCCCCCTTGGCCGTGTCTGCCATCGTATCAACTAGTCAAGGAAGTGCTATTGTTTTTCTATCTGTCCATTGTTGAGTCGTCGCCTGTCCATTGTTGTCAAAAACTGTATATATATATATATGCTCAATTCTACATATTGAAAAAATCAACAGAGTACGAGGCCGGTATTCCAACTGACTGTGTAGGGACGACCACGAGCAGGATCATGCCGCTCGTAGGAAACGTCCTGGGGCTGAGCAGGTACTCCGCATCTCATTTGTCCTTTGTATTTGTTTGTCGTGTCACTAAAGAAGTATGAGCTCGACGTATTCCTTCGTTTTGTCAACGTATTGTATGTACACTTCATTATAATTATGAGCTAATTCCCCAGTCGACGCGTATCTACGCGTTGACAAATGAAACAAGACGATCGTGTATAGGTGTGGTTTTTGTAGGCCTGGCACTCCCCAGGTCTCACAGCAACCCACACTTTTCACGGTGCTTGTCCCACATTCGAGAAATACAGTTTTGATTTGCCCAATATACGGTCAACTGGGAATACTGGGGTCTTCATCCCTCTCCCTCTAACGTACGGATCCACACACCTATCTTGTTTGTTGATTGAGATCTGTCTCTGACACACGCTGCGTGTCACTGTGTGTAAGAGTGTGTATGTTTGTGTGCTTGTGTAAGAGTGTGTATGCGTGTGCTTGCGTGAGCGTGTGTAAGAGTGTGTATGTGTGTGTGCTTGTGTAAGAGTATATGCTTGTGCTTGCTTGTGTGTAAGAGTGTGTATGTGTGTGTGCATGTGTAAGAGTGTGTATGTGTGTGCTTGCGTGAGCGTGTGTAAGAGTGTGTATGTGTGTGTGCTTGTGTAAGAGTATATGCTTGTGCTTGCTTGTGTGTAAGAGTGTGTATGTGTGTGTGCATGTGTAAGAGAGTGTATGTGTGTGCTTGCGTGAGCGTGTGTAAGAATGTGTGTCCCATTGTAAGAGTGTGTATATGCTTGTGTGTGTAGAGAGTGTGCTTGTGTAAGAGTGTGTATGTGTTTGTGCTTGCTTGTGTGTGTAAGAGTGTATATATGTGTGCGTGTGTGTAAGAGCGTATGTGTTTGCATGTGTGTGAATGTGTAAGATTATATATGTGTTCGTGTGTGCTTACGTGTGAGCGTGTGTAAGAGCGTATGTGTGTGCTTGCGAGTGAGTGTGTGTGCGAGAGTGTGTGTGCGTGCGTGCGTGTGTAAGAGTGCATAAGTGTGTGTGTCGTCTCTGTTAATATCATGTCGTTGTGTGGGGTTACTACACCAACAATTAACAACATTAACACCAAAATAAAAAAAACAAAAACAACAAAAAACAATTAACACCATAACCTTAATCAGAACGGCGATCCCAGTCGGGCGTCAGGAAACGTGGCGACTGAAGTCGACTTCCGCACTCATAGCAAAGGAGAGTCAGGCTATCCCTTTCTATGGTGTATTCGTAGTCTACTATTTAGCCTCTGAAACAATGTCTTTATAAAGGACACCAGAAAATCTCGTTTTTAAAAACAAAATTAATCTATACACGAAAATTGAATTTATCAAAGCCAGAAAAAAACAACTTTTTACGTCGTGTTTGCAAATAAGAATATATAATTATTCTGTACAGGACAGACCGCAAATGCTCGATCTATGACAATAATTGACGAACTGTCACTCCCAGAAAAATACCCTTTATTAAATCGCCCTGCACATGTAAGTTACTGCTAATTCCGCCACATTTACTATATGTGCGACAGAACATCTGTCGTCACTTGTCGATGTCTGAGTCATGTTGCCTTCCGGCGTGGTAGACATCTTGCGTTGCAGGGAAGTATCGTATCTACAATATAACGTGGATGTAACGAACTCCAGTTGACTAACGAAATGGGGTCGTCAGATACGTAATTCGATACTCGCGAAACATTACACGCTCTTTACGATTCCTCTGTATGAGTAAGTTGATTTATCATTTTTGGGTCTAGAACCACAAATAATGACAATATCATACAGTGGTTTTCATGTGGTCTTTATGTGAGTGTGTTTGTGTGTATGTATATGTGTGTGCGTGCGTGCGTGCGAGTATGTATATATATATATACCCACACAGAGTATACTCTCTACACGCCCCCCCTCTCTCTCCTCTCTCTCTCTCTCTCTCTCCCTCTCTCTCTCTCTCTCTCTCCTCTCCTCTCTCTCTCTCTCTCTCTCTCTCTCTCACTCTCTCTCTCTCTCTCTGTACTGTTTTGTCTGTCTGGCAACTGAACCCATCGCACCATCTGGTATTGAGTACGCTGCTGGTATGTACGTGTGTGTTAAAGGGCGTGGTGATGTGTGACGTCCAACCACGCCCTCATCTCAAGAGGTTCAATCATTCATTGATATGGAGCACTGATTATATTGTTTAACATGGTCCTCCACTCAACAGGAAAAACAAGGGGAATAATCAGAGTGGGATATTCCCATGAAAATTCGTATAGGTAAAACAGGACGGATTCTTTACACAGGACGATGGAACAGTAGATCAGGGCATGGTCTTCACCCAGGGTTGGATACCAGTATATCAGGACATGTTCTTCACACAGGGAGGGCTACCGGTAGATCAGGTCATGTTAACTAGTAGCTATCCTTGTTCCCCACCAGTTGTACACGTTCCCCACCAGCTATCCATGTCCCCCAGCAGCTATCCTTGTTCTCCAGCAGCTATCCTTGTTCCCCAGCACCTATCCTTGTTCTCCAGCAGCTATTCATGTCCCCCAGCACCTATCCTTGTTCTCCAGCAGCTATCCTTGTCCCCAAGCACCTATCCTTGTTCTCCAGCAGCTATCCTTGTCCCCAAGCACCTATCCTTGTTCTCCAGCAGCTATCCTTGTCCCCCAGCACCTATCCTTGTTCCCCATCAGCTATCCATGTCCCCCAGCACCTATCCTTGTTCTCCAGAAGCTATCCATGTCCCCCAGCACCTATCCTTGTTCCCAGTCAGCTATCCATGTCCCCCAGCAGCTATCCTTGTTCTCCAGCAGCTATCCTTGTCCCCCAGCACCTATCCTTGTTCTCCAGCAGCTATCCTTGTCCCCCAGCACCTATCCATGTCCCCCAGCACCTATCCTTTTTCTCCAGCAGCTATCCATGTCCCCCAGCACCTATCCTTGTTCCCAGTCAGCTATCCATGTCCCCCAGCAGCTATCCTTGTTCTCCAGCAGCTATCCTTGTTCCCCAGCACCTATCCTTGTTCTCCAGCAGCTATTCATGTCCCCCAGCACCTATCCTTGTTCTCCAGCAGCTATCCATGCCCCCAGCAGCTATCCTTGTTCCCCATCAGCTATCCATGTCCCCCAGCACCTATCCTTGTTCTCCAGAAGCTATCCATGTCCCCCAGCACCTGTCCTTGTTCTCCAGCAGCTATCCATGTCCCCCAGCACCTATCCTTGTTCCCAGTCAGCTATCCATGTCCCCAGCAGCTATCCTTGTTCTCCATCAGCTATCCATGTCCCCCAGCACCTATCCTTGTTCTCCAGAAGCTATCCATGTCCCCCAGCACCTATCCTTGTTCTCCAGCAGCTATCCATGTCCCCCAGCACCTATCCTTGTTCCCAGTCAGCTATCCATGTCCCCAGCAGCTATCCTTGTTCTCCATCAGCTATCCATGTCCCCCAGCACCTATCCTTGTTCTCCAGAAGCTATCCATGTCCCCCAGCACCTATCCTTGTTCTCCAGCAGCTATCCTTGTCCCCAAGCACCTATCCTTGTTCTCCAGCAGCTATCCTTGTCCCCCAGCACCTATCCTTGTTCCCCATCAGCTATCCATGTCCCCAGCACCTATCCTTGTTCTCCAGCTATCCATGTCCCCAGCACCTATCCTTGTTCCCAGTCAGCTATCCATGTCCCCAGCAGCTATCCTTGTTCTCCAGCAGCTATCCTTGTCCCCAGCACCTATCCTTGTTCTCCAGCAGCTATCCTTGTCCCCAGCACCTATCCATGTCCCCAGCACCTATCCTTTTTCTCCAGCAGCTATCCATGTCCCCCAGCACCTATCCTTGTTCCCCATCAGCTATCCATGTCCCCCAGCACCTATCCTTGTTCTCCAGCAGCTATCCATGTCCCCCAGCACCTATCCTTGTTCTCCAGCAGCTATCCATGTCCCCCAGCAGCTATCCTTGTTCTCCAGCAGCTATCCTTGTCCCCCAGCACCTATCCTTGTTCTCCAGCAGCTATCCTTGTCCCCCAGCAGCTATCCATGTTCTCCAGCAGTCATACACGTTCCCCACCAGCTATCGATGTTCTCAGCAGCTATCCATGTCACCAGAAGCTATCCACGTTCACCATCAGCTATCCATGTCCCTCAGCAGCTATCGATGTTCCCCAACAGCTATCCTTGTTCCTCCGCAGCTATCCATGTTCCCTTGCAGCTATATTTCGATGTCTTCACCAGCTATCCATGTCCCCCAGCAGCTATCCTTGTTCCCCATCAGCTATCCATGTCCCCCAGCAGCTATCCTTGTTCTTCATCAGCTATCCATGTCCCCCAGCAGCTATCCTTGTTCCCCATCAGCTATCCATGTCCCCCAGCACCTATCCTTGTTCTCCAGCAGCTATCCATATCCCCCAGCACCTATCCTTGTTCCCCATCAGCTATCCATTTCCCCCAGCACCTATCCTTTTTCTCCAGCAGCTATCCATGTCCCCCAGCACCTATCCTTGTTCCCCATCAGCTATCCATGTCCCCTAGCACCTATCCTTTTTCTCCAGCAGCTATCCATGTCCCCCAGCACCTATCCTTGTTCCCCATCAGCTATCCTTGTCCCCAAGCACCTATCCTTGTTCTCCAGCAGCTATCCATGTCCCCCAGCAGCTATCCTTGTTCCCCATCAGCTATCCATGTCCCTCAGCACCTATCCTCTTTCCCCATCAGCTATCCATGTCCCTCAGCACCTATCCTTGTTCCCCAGAAGCTATCCTTGTTCCCCATCAGCTCTCCATGTCCCCCATCAGCTATCCTTGTTCCCCAGCAGCTATCCTTGTTCCCCATCAGCTATCCTTGTTCCCCATCAGCTATCCTTGTTCCCCAGCAGCTATCCTTGTTCCCCATCAGCTATCCTTGTTCCCCATCAGCTATCCATGTTCCCCAGCAGCTATCCTTGTTCCCCAGCAGCTATCCTTGTTCCCCATCAGCTATCCTTGTTCCCCATCAGCTATCCTTGTTCCCTATCAGCTATCCTTGTTCCCCAGCAGCTATCCTTGTTCCCCAGCAGCTACCCATGTCCCCCAGCAGCTATCCTTGTTCCCCAGCAGCTATCCTTGTTCGCTATTAGCTATCCATGTCCCCATCAGCTATCCTTGTTCCCCATCAACTATCCATGTTCCCAAGCAGCTATCCATGTTCCCCAGCAGCTATCCATGTTCCCCATCAGCTATCCATGTTCCTTAGCAGCTATCCATGTTCCTCAGCAGCTATATATCCATGTTCCTTGCAGCTATCCATACTCTAAAGCAGCTATCCATGTCCCCCAGCAGCTATCCATGTTCCCTTGCAGCTATCAATGTTCACCAGCAGCTATCCATGTTCCAAAGCAGCTATCCATGTTCCCCACCAGCTATCCTTGTTCCTCCGCAGCTATACATGTTCCCTTGCAGCTATCCATGTTCACCAGCAGCTGTCCATGTTCACCATCAGCTATCCATGGTCCCCAGCAGCTATCCATGGTCCTCAGCAGCTATCCTTGCTCCCCATCAGCTATCCATGTTCACCAGCAGCTGTCCATGTTCACCATCAGCTATCCATGGTCCCCAGCACCTATCCATGGTCCTCAGCAGCTATCCTTGTTCCCCATCAGCTACCTATGTTCACCAGCAGCTATCCATGTTCCTCAGCAGCTATCCATGTTCCCCAGCAGCTATCCATGTTCCCCAGCAGCTATCCACGTTCCCCATCAGCTATCCATGTTCCTCAGGAGCTATCCGTGTTTACCCAGCAGCTATCCATGTTCCTCAGCAGCTGTCAGTGTTCCCCATCAGCTATCCGTGTTCCCCAGCAGCTATCCATGTTCACAATCAGCTATCATTGTTCCTCAGCAGCTATCCATGTTCTTCCGCAGCTATATCCATGTTCCCTAGCAGCTATCCATGGTCCCCAGCAACTATCCTTATTCCCCATCAGCTATCCATGTTCACAATCAGCAATCCTTGTTTTCCTCAGCAGCTATCCTTGTTTTCCTCAGCAGCTATCCATGTTCCTCGGCAGCTATCCATGTTCCTCAGCAGCTATCGATGTTCCTCAGCCGCTACCCATGTTCCCAATCACCTATCCTTGTTCTTTGGCAGCTACCCTTGTTCCTCCGCAGCTATACATGTTCCCTTGCAGCTATCCATGTTCCTCCGCAGCTATCCATGTTCCCCAGCAGCTATGCAATTTCCCCAGGAGCTGTTGCCTTGATGTGTTAAACTTGTCCAGGATCAGCTTGACAGAGTAGGCTGGCATACTGAGAGTTTTCCTCAGATGAGTTTATAGGTCTGTAACATTTGCACTTAAATCCACCTCTCCGGGAAACATCTGGGACGTCACTACTCCACATGGACGTGGTCTGTGTACGTGGTCTACACAAGGTCTTCAAAGACACGCAGTTCATCGTCACGCAAACACGACTCTCCAGGCCCATGGTGAAAAGTCCTCAGGAGATCCACACTTCACACCCCCACCCCGATATAACGTGAAAGCGACCGAGTCAACGCGGGCCCAACACACATGAATGCACAGAGTACCGAACGCACCTATATTTAACCAGTCAACACCGGGATTCAATGTTCGCGGCTTAGTCTTATGCATAATGCAGCAAGTCTTAAGGTCAGGCGTTGTCGATTTTAAGTAACATTCCTTCAAGAAGGGCCCAAATGATCTTAGTTCACTCCCTTAACGACTTCAAACGGAGATGGAATATCGTTGTGTACCTGACGTCCATGTTACGAGGACATTGGGAAGGTAATGATGACAAGCACCTGCTGACTTGCTGATGCGTGAAGTGAAATAGGCTTGACGTCGCGTTCCAGACTGTTGCACTTTAGTCGACGTTCATGTTTGTATGTGGTTGCTTGTACTAGTCCAGACAAATGCCAGTTTATTCTGCCAGCATCATGACCCTCCTCAGACACATTTTGCTGAGCCGACAAGACTTTGTCTCATCTCCTAAATGCCGAATTCATGATAGGAGAGCAAAACTTATCATCTGTGAGGTCTTTTGATAGTAAGCGCCCGGGGTTGAACCACCGACCATCCGCTTTCTTTGGGCGCTCTGTCTACTGTACTATGAGACTTGTTGCATGCACGGTTACGCTCCATCAAGAGGTGAATAGAAGTCAGGGAGATGCTAATAGGAACGGGATTGTTTTTTAAAGAGTTGAGTTAGTTGTTGGGGAACGCCAGGTTGTGATTTCGATAGGTCGGAGGTGGGGTTTAGGCTGGGTTAGGGTTGTAAGATGGTGTTTAGGAAGATATGAGGTGAGGTTTGAGGAGACGTGGAGTTTGGGAAGATATGAGATGAGGTTTTGTCTGAAGTAAGATGGAGTTTGGGAGCTGAGATTGAGCTTTAATGTGCAGTTTGGGTGTAGGAAGATGATGACTGGGGAAGATTGGAGTTGGGAAGATGTAAAGTTGCATTTTTGGTAGATGTGAGGTGTTGACTGGGCATTATGTTGCATTAAGATTTTAAGTGTGTCTTGAAAATACGTGAAGTGTGGTTGGAGAAAATGTGAGATTAGGTTTGGAACGATCTGTGGTGACATTTGGAACGTTGCGTCGGGCGATATGGTAAGGTTTGGAAAGATACGATGTGGTTAGGATTAGTCAGATGTTAGATGGAGGTTGGAAAGATATGAGGAGATTTTGGAGAATAGAGGCCATGTGAGGTGACATTTGTTAACATGGGAGACCTGTATTTGAGTGATCTGAGGTGAGGTTTAGGAATACGTGAGGTGGGGGTTAAGGAAGATAAGAGGTGACGTTTAGTTGTTTGAAGTGGGGTTGAGAAAGATGTGGGTTGAGGTTTATTAAGATGTGAGACGTGGATTTGGGTGATCTGAGGTGAGGTGTAGGAATACGTGAGGTGGGGGTTAAGGAAGATGAGAGGTGACGTTTAGGTGTGTGAGGTGGGGTTGAGAAAGATGCGGGTTGAGGTTTATTAAGATGTGAGACGTGGATTTGGGTGATCTGGGGTGAGGTTTAGGAATACGTGAGGTGGGGGTTAAGGAAGATGAGAGGTGACGTTTAGGTGGGGTTGAGAAAGATTTGGGTTGAGATTTTTTAAGATGTGAGACGTGGATTTGGGTGATCTGAGATGAGGTTTAGGAAGTTGTGAGGATTGAGGAATCTGTGAGGTGGGATTGTGGAAGACGGGTGGTGGGATTGTGGAAGTTTGGAGGTGAGATTGAGGAAGATGGGAGGTGGGGTTGTGGAAGATGGGAGGTGGGATTGTGGAAGTTTGGAAGTGGGATTGAGGAAGATGGGAGGTGGGATTGAGGAAGATGGGAGGTGGGATTGTGGAAGTTTGGAGATGGGATTGTGGAAGATGGGAGGTGGGATTGTGGAAGATGGGAGGTGGGATTGAGGAAGATGGGAGGTGGGATTGAGGAAGATGGGAGGTGGGGTTGTGGAAGATGGGAGGTGGGATTGTGGAAGTTTGGAGGTGGGGTTGAGGAAGATGGGAGGTGGGATTGTGGAAGTTGGGAGGTGGGATTGTGGAAGATGGGAGGTGGGATTGAGGAAAATGGGAGGTGGGATTGAGGAAGATGGGAGGTAGGATTGAGGAATGTGGGAGGTGGTATTATGGAAGACGGGAGGTGGGATTGTGGAAGTTTGGAGGTGAGATTGAGGAAGACGGGAGGTGGGATTGAGGAAGATGGGAGGTGGGGTTGTGGAAGATGGGAGGTTTATCTTTCGTAAGATAATGGAGATATTCAATAAGATCTTGACTTAAAATGCTTGATGGCAACCATGAAACGACCTATGTCACTACTGCAGGGACAGATAGCATTCCTTCACTGAACACTCCCTCACTCACCCACTCACCCACCCACCCATCACACACTCACTCACTCACTACTCACTCACTAACCCCCACTCACTCACTCGCTCACTCACCCATCCACACACACTCACTCACTCACTCAGCCGCCTCCAAGGTGTAGTGGTTAGAGCGTCCGCCCGGAGAGCGGAAGGTCGCGGGTTCGATCCCCGACTGCGTCATACCAAAAAGACGTTAAATTATGGTACTTGTTGGTCCCTGCCTGGCGCTCGGCATTAATGGGTACAACAAGGACTGGTCGGCTTAGAGTCAGTATAATGTGTCTGACTGGGGTATTCATGCTTCACTGCGGCATGGTATCTCAGTGGGCTAGCGCTATAAAACCAGCTTAAGTCTGGGCTAGTACAAGCAGCCGCACATACACATACACACGCATGCACGTCGTCATATGAGCGAAATATTCTCAAGCACGACGTAAAACCCAATTTCACCTCACCTCTACTCACTCACTCACTAACCCCCACTCACTCACCCATCCACACATATCCACACTCTCACCCACTCACTCATACACTCACTCACTCACTCACCCATTAAAACTACAATTGATCCGAAGTTCTGCCAGCACGTCTACTGCCCACTAATCCAGGTTCGTGTTGTACTTTGCCCTGGCCATGTCACCTTCTGTTGCATACCTGTGCAGTCTAATTACTGGTCCGTTAGATCACACCAGGTGAGTCATACACCAGTACCGCCTCTATGGTTACAGTCGCTCACATAACTCGTCAAAGGTCAGAGTATGTCGGCTGTCTTTCCTTAACTGACACACACTGAGATAATCGACAGCCCAATAGGTATTTCATTAATGAAATCCATATATCATGTCCGCTTAATGTAGGATTTGCCTTAAACGTTGACAATGCAATGCATGTCATAAATATTTCATAAATTGTTTGATAGATTAGCAGCAATGCATAAGTAGATCGTGAGGAATGAATGTTGATAATATGGTACATTTACACATTACCAGTACCAGTTTTGGAACGTCAACAAATGGGTGTTATATTATACAAAGCGAGAAGAAAAATCAGCGAATGGGTACCCGTTAGGGTAAAAAGGAAACTTCGAGAGTCGGCTAGATAGCTGAGAATGAAATTAATAATGACAGTAATATCAGAAATATCAGCAAGTGAGTGAGTTTAGTTTTACGTCGCACTCAGCAATATTCCAGCTATATGACGGCGGTCTGTAAATAATCGAGTCTGGACCAAGACAATCCAGTGGTCAACAGTATGTGC